TATATATATATACTTATAATAATAAGTAATATTAACTTTATTTAATACAACATTTACGGTACAAGATTTAATCATACAGCCCATGTAGTATGATAATGAAGTATAGCAAACATGTGCAATATATCCATTATTACAGCTCCGTGGGATGGCAGTAAGACGATATGGGTCCGTTCTTATTGTGCATCCATGGGTAAAGATAAACGCAACTCACATTGGTTTTTCAAACAGCATCTCTGTAAACTACGTGTATTGTATTCACTGAATTTCACTCTCTGCCTTTAACGCAGGGGTGGGGAACCTTTTTCCTCTCAAGGGCCATTTAAATGTTTTAAACATCCTCCAAGGGCCGTACAAATTATTGACCTCTGCTTAAAAATACTAAACTCACAGCCCACTTATTTCACCTTTCTTTCATGCTGTGCAAAGAAAAAGCAACCTCTTAATCCAGATATCTTGCCATGACTCACGCATGCATGCACGTGCACGGTTGTGGCATGACCACCCAAACAGAAAGATATGGACACAAGATGTGTGCAAATGTATTTAGACTCCTATCCATGTGAACATGATTTAAGTGGGGGGGGGGACCTAACCTCCTCTAGGGGGGTCCGGGGGGCATGCTCCCCCGGGAAGATTTGTTTTTTTAAATGTTGAAGTTAAAAGCATCAATCTGGTGCACTTTGAGAGCAACATTAGGAGATCTACAGTATGGATACATCTCTCAACACTCAGATGAAACAGAACTGTAAGCAGATTTTCTTTTTCTTTATGGGTATTTTACAAATCACTCTCCTTTCAAACTGTATTCTTGTTTATTAATAACAACTTTTTTTACCGTGATATAGTATTTTATACCTGTTTACTTTATTCTCTTATTTGTTTTATAACTATAATGATCATATAAAGATGTGCCTGGTTGTAGAAAAAGCTTCTTATATTCGTTAGCATAGCTAGCTAACCAGATGCTAATAACAACAAAGTTATTGACTGTATGATCAGTATGACAGATCGCCACTGGGCTTACAACTAAAGACACAGCCACGCAAAAACTGCAGCATGTGTACGGCTCCTTATGGGTACTGCAATTTTTGGAAGTGCCGGAGCGGAGCGGCGTTCTGGTGCTCCCCGTCAGAACTACACCCCTGTCAGATGAGACATACCACGTGATGGTCAAATGGTCTCGTGGGCCGTATACGGCCCGGGGGCCGGAGGTTCCCCCGGACGCCCCCCGGACCCCCCTAGAGGAGGTTAGGTCCCCCCCCCACTTTAACGGCTCGTTGTAGCTCCAATAGCTCCAGCCCCCACCCTTCCTGTGAGCACAGTGTGCTCTGATTGGTCGGGACACGTAACATGAACGTGCCGGGCGGCGCGGTCCCGTGGGTTAGATGCGCGTTCATAATGCAGAGGGAAATAACTCTCAGAATAACGTTATTAGCACATTATTACAACTTGAGGAACGAATGTTTTTAATAAGGGCTATACAAGTGTTCATACTGGGTAGTTTATTTAGTTTAAAAAAAATTATCCAACGATTTACAGACCACTCTTTCCCCATGTAAGTCAATGGGAAAAAGTGTTTCCGGGTCTGGCAACCAAACGGAAGTGTAGTACCGCCGTTTGGACAGCACGAATATTTTCATCTGAGTCCGGCACACTTCCTGGGGGCTTGATTGGGACGTCCTTCAAAATGGCGTGTCTTGATCGATTTCCGGGTCAAGTCACGGAGGAGGGGAAGAGAGGAGTCGAGGAGGGGTATTGGGATGAGGCTATAGGCTCTGTGCACAAGATGGCGTCTATCAACTTCCGGCGGCTGGGTGTGCGGCTGAGTACTTCCGGTTTGAGTACAGAGTTTTGACAGCTTGACAGTTTGTTATGTCACACCGAGAGCAAGAATGAGCGGATTTCGGGGTAAAGAAAAGCGATTGGCCTTCCAGCGTGTAAGAAAGTCGGCACTACATTGCTGTGTGCCCCTTTGTACAAATTCGTCCCGTTATCAGAATCACAATACCTTTATTAGTCCCACAGAGGGGACATTTGCAGAGTTGAAGCAGGAAAGAGCCACAGACAGCTTAGTGTTGAATATCTTACATGCGTTAAAAAGTACTAATTTATAATATAATTAACAATATGCTAAAAAAAGTATTAAGTTATAATATAATAAATAATATGCTAAAAAAAAGATAAAAAGTTACATAATTTTCAAATCTACAAATCAAATCCTGTAGCTGCAGTTCTTAGCATTTAGCAGCCCGGTATATATTACAGTTATTAAAGATGGCATATGTATATAAACTATATATTGCACATAAAGCACATATTGCACATAGTTTGACGGTATTTAACAGCAGCAAGTTACACAATGTTATAATCGGGAGATAAGTTTCCATTCATTTCGGCAAGCCTGGGCAACAACGATTAAAATATTTCTTGCTCCCAAACCAATTGTGTATTTCATTACAAAAAGCAGTTAAACCATACTATGTTTAGGTACTAATGAATTATATCCTCAAAACAAACGCACACATAAATAACAAAGGAAAATACATAATTTAATAAATCCACAATATGATAACATTTTACAGATTCATTTAATAAACTTTTACAAAACATAGGTTGATGTTATATCGGGGGGGAAATACATATTTAAACATTTCAATTAGTCTCTGCATATTTAAGTAATGCTAGTTTATATAACAGATGAACAGATGTACAATATCCAGAAAGTAGATGCAAAAAATATATATAATGTGTGCATTTCCAACATATCCTCTGAAAGAGTGTTAGTCGTTGAGTTGAGTAGTGAGCCATTCGTTCTTTTTTCGTGGTGCGATGTCTGCTGAGAAGTCCTTGTATGCCTCGCTGACTTTGAGGACATCTGGGTCTGGCAGCTCCCCCCGCACGGTCTTGTAACGTGTACTCCTTTGAACATGTTTATATGATAATTAGGACTTTAAGAACAATTTTACACTCAGGCAACAATCACAAAGTAGTAGCAGGCTACATACAATTACTTAGAACAATAGATATTACCTTACACCGTCAGCAACTGTAAACTGCTTTGGCTTAGTGGAAGTGAACACCATGTCACTCACTCTGCCTGGTTTCACACCCTATTAATTACACAAAATAATTGTCAAATTAATTGAAAAGGTCGTTGATGCAACATACTAAATCAGCTCTTGGCACAAAGGAAATACTCATTAAACCGTGGATTGGTTGTGAACACATACTGTACTTACCATGGTTCTTGGCTTGGGCCATCGCTGCTCTGTTTCAGTGCGGCTGAGGACAGGGGGGACAGCAGCCAGGTTGAGTGTGGAGTAGTGTGCAGTCTGGAACAACAGTGCAACATTGTGGTTGCAGAGTGCTGTTCCAGCTACACAGGAACACTTTGCCACTGCAATCTCCACAGGTGAGCAGTTCTTAAAACAAAATGTCAGTCATTTTACATTTAGGACACTGCTTCAATACAACACAGACACATGAGAAAGCTGAGAGCAGGCTGATCAGGCAAGTAGTAGGTGTGGGAAAAGGCTAAACCATGTCAGGTTGTCAGTCACATCACATACACAGAAGTTCTGCTGTTTGGAATACTGTAATTTGAGGACATTCAAACAGATACGCTTGTATAGCCTGTCTCAGCTCTCTCAATTTATTATCTTATATTATAACTACATCAAATAATGTTAGTAGAATGTTGAACAGCTTAACATAGATGTAGGGTACAAAACCAGCACTTACCTAACACTGGCCAATGTAAATAATTGGACCCTACATGGATTATACTAACCATACAGTAAAGAACAGCAGCCGTCAGAAACAGTTTCTGGGGTTTCCATAAAAGCAGAGACGGTTTTCAACCTCTCATTAAGAATCTTTGATGAAAGCTAAGTTTGGGTTTAGCTCATGTATTTATCATTTTACACGAGAGGGTTACAAAACGAAAATAAATCTGTAGCCCCTTCATGCTACACACACATAGTTGATGTGAGCAAATGTATTGTCACTATGTAATCTGTTGCAACACGTCAACTAGCTGGGCTTATTTGAATCCTAAATCACAGGTTACCTACTCTAGCTACATCAAAACCCCAGAACATGAACCTAATTGAGGCTTTGAACCGATTAACACTTTTTATTTTCCTCCCTACTCTGAGATCGTGAGGCTTTTCATGCTTTCTCATGGACCTGTAACAGCTAGCCCTGATACTCACTCTCCCTGAAGGTAGTTCTTTGTTTGAAACTGTGGGGAATTGGATATCATTCATGTTATCCAAAAAAACGTAATAGTACATCATTAAAACGCTTTACACTGTATCAACACTGTCAATTTGTCAAAGTTAGCCAGTAACTACAGCTTTGTTTGTCACTTACCTTCATAATTGTCGACGTAGCTGGATATGTAGCTACATCTTGAACCCCTTTTCTCTTTTGCTCCTCAGGGCTGAGCCTGCCGCTTGTACCAGCCGGTCTTGGAGATATCGAGTGTAAAATAGTGCCTAAATAATATCTATACGCTATCTCTTTCTCGCTATCTATCGCTCTTCCCTCTACCGCTCTACTATAGACCGGAAGTTTACAACCGCACACCCAGCCGCCGGAAGTTGATAGACGCCATCTTGTGCAACTAGCCAATAGTCTCTCTGTGTGTGGGGGGGCGGGGCCTAACAGACACGCTGCAGCGGCACACAGAGATCTGCCGGGGACGGAGCTTTCAGAAGTATAGAGACACTCTACAAAGCTGGATGTGGACAAAGCTCGTTTTCCATTAGTGTTTTTGCGTTAGCGCGTTGACACGAGTAGAGTAGTCTGTCCAAACAGCCGGCCAAAAGGCGTCATATTCAGTCGGAGAAATGCACAATTTTCAACCTCCTTAACGGGCCGGCCACACTACAAGCGTAAAATTCGCTTCCAACGCCCCAAGATTTACGCTTGGGGCGTTTCTTCGAGCCCCGCGACCAACAACCAATCAGAATCTCCATGTGAATCTCCCGCCCCGTACATACAAAGTGAAAAACCCCGGTTCTTCTCCACTATTGCTAAAATGGATGCCGTCTACAAAGGGGGGAATACCACCTTCTCGTCCAGGAGCTCCGTCTCGATGACCGCCTTTTTCAGAGGTACTTCAGGATGAGCAAGGAGGTGTTCGACGAGTTGCTCGGAAAGGTGGGCCCACTGATTACAAAGGTGGACACCCATCTGCGTATGTCAATCGGCCCCGCCGAGCGACTCGCCATCTGCCTACGGTACGTTTTGTGTATTTCTACTTCTTTAATCTGACTCTGTATAGAAGGAGAGAGAATGCACGAATGATGACTGAAGTCTGTGATTTAGTTCAGATGGGTAACATTAATTAAGATATCTAGGTAAACACAGTATTGCTCCCCTGTGTACATGGCGTGTGTGTCTGTGTCTGTGATCAATGTGTGTGTGGGGATCTGTGTGTCTGTCTGTGTTCAATGTGTGTGTCTGTGTGTCTGTGTTCAATGTGTGTGTCTGTGTTCAATGTGTGTGTCTGTTCAATGTGTGTCTGTGTTCAATGTGTGTGTCTGTGTTCAATGTGTGTGTCTGTTCAATGTGTGTGTGTCTGTGTTCAATGTGTGTGTCTGTGTTCAATCTGTGTCTGTGTTCAATGTGTGTGTCTGTGTTCAATGTGTGGAGGGGGGGATCTGTGGTCTGTGTGTGTGTGGGGTCTGAATAAATATATTTTGTAATCATGTATATATCTTTTTTTCTCAGGTACCTGGCAACTGGTGACTCGTACGCGACGATAGCCTTCAGCTATCGGGTCGGGCGTTCTACAGTGGCAGTCATTGTCAAGGAGGTTGCGGGGGCCATCTGGACCGCCCTGGTCGAGGAGTGCATGCCGGTACCACAGGTGGAGGATTGGAGAGCCATCGCTGCTGGGTTCCAGGAGCGCTGGGAGTTTCCCAACTGTGTTGGTGCCATAGATGGGAAGCACGTCGTTATCCAGGCTCCAGCGAATGCAGGTTCCCTCTACTTTAATTATAAGTCCACCCACTCCTTGGTACTGCTGGCTGTGGTGGATGCTGAGTACCTGTTCAGGGTAGTGGATGTTGGAGGCTTTGGGAGGAGCAGCGACAGTGGGAGCCTGCGGAATTCTGCATTTGGAGAGAGCCTCCGAGACGGCAGTCTGCAGCTACCACCTGACACCGTCATCGCAGGATCAGAGCGGCGGGGCCCTCTCCCCCATGTCTTCGTTGGAGATGAGGCATTTCCGCTGCTGGACAACCTTCTGCGTCCATTCCCTGGACGTCACCTCACCCGTGAAAGGAGGTTATTTAACTACCGCCTCAGCCGTGCCAGGTTGGTGGTTGAATGTGCGTTTGGCATCCTCTCAACCCAGTGGAGAATGCTCAGGCGTGTCATCACCACCAGCCCCGAGGTGACGGAGTTGTGTGTGAAGGCTGCCTGTGTGTTGCATAACTTCCTCCGCAGGAAGACCATTGATATGCCATCACGCACACCTATCGCAAGGTCCACGGATGAAGTTACTCCAACCCTGTGTGATGCACCGAGGATGGGCTCCAACAATGCCACACGGCAATCCATCCAACAGCCGGAGACCTTCTGCTCCTACTTCAACGAGGAGGGGGCAGTGCGATGGCAGGCAAATGTGGTGTAGGCCCATATTTGTCTCCAAACCAAAAAGCTCTTTTAAGAGCTACCCATTTTCTTTAAAAAGCAAATATTCCAAATGAGCCATTTTAAAATCAACCATTCCTAATAAACATGTTTCTTGAATTGATATCATGATATAACTAACAACCTTTTTCCTTCAGCCCCGTTTTTAGTGATAAACCACTCATAATTTTCATCAGGGTTTCACCTGAATAATTACAGAAGACAGCACATTATATATCGACATACAAGAAGCTCCTGGTATGTTGTAACTGACAAACCACATGAACAAGTCAAGACACAGTATAGCCATAACATACTTTTAAATAACTTTTATTTATGTGATGTTGTGTGTGATGAGTGATGAGTGTAAAAAGATGTAATGTGTATCAGTATCTAATTAATTAATTATTAATGTCCATTTCTGTGGCCTCCAGGACCGCCTCTTGTAGCTTCATTTTCAGTCTCATGCTGCTCGTCCTGCTCAGCTTTTGCATTGCAGGCCAGAGACTCCTTAAAAAAAGGAGGTCCTCGTCTTCCACCTCCACCACTGGTGGTGGGGGTGGTGGTGGTGGTGGCATGGCCAGCATCGGGCCTACGGCCGACAGCAGGTTCTCCTCAAAAGGGGACATCTCCCTTCCCCTGCTCTTCTTCCCCCGGAATGCTGGCACACTGGCCGGCACACCGTCTGGCACACTGGCCGGCACACTGGCCGGCTGACTGGCCGGCTGACTGCTACCTGGCTCTGGCTGGCTTTCCAGACTGTCATCCAGGCTGTCACCCATAGAGTCTTCCTCTTCTTCTGCTCCGGTGGGTGGAGGCAGGGGTTGCCGGGGGAAATTGCTGGACGTCTCACGGTCCAGCATGAAGGGCTTTAAAAAGCTCATTACTGCCGCGAGACGCCAGGGCTTAGATCCCCCGGAAGCCCCTGCCCTGCTACTTTTCCCTTCCTTCTCCAGGATCCTCTCCCTGCGGTATCGGTCCCTGAGGGACTTCCAACGCTTTTTGCACACTTCGTCTAATAAAATGAAAATGAAAGAATACAGTTAATTTCTTGAATTTCAGAAAATGATTGCTCCATTAATGAAAACCAAATCCCTTTCAATTGCATACAAGGTTTTACATGTCACACTTTATCAGAATCAAAAACAGGTTTATTGCCAGGTAGCTTTGCACATACTAGGAATTTGACTTGATGTCATGGTGCATATATACAAAACAAGAAATCTAATATAAAACACAACATGTATTGTACAGTTAAATTGCAAAAAGATAAAAATTAAATAAAGCAGTAATTTACATGGAAATAGAATGCTAGGAATGAATTTTTGCATATATATAACTAAGAAATGTGAAAGGAGTATGACTGTGTGCATTAATGTAATGCAATATAGTCTATGATGTGGCAGCGGATGATTAACATGTATGTGATTAATGTCTATGGCGCTATTTTATGCTAAATATACCGGCTATGTTTCATTAGCTATGTTAACATGAAGTAAACTGGATATAAAATCCCCAAACAGGCGAAAACCTACCAGTTTCCCCCACTGTCTCTGCCACCTCCTTCCATGCCTGGTTCCTCTGGTTTCTATCCCGGTAGGTGAACAGGGTCACATCAAATAATACAGGGTGATTCGCTACCGCTACGATTATAACCTCGTCCATTTTATTTCAAATATAGACATGAACGGCGGGATATCTCAGGATATCTCTCCCAGCGTATGCGCGGTTTTTGATTGGCTACGGCTTGAGCTGTCAGATTTTCTGAAACGGGATTTGATTGGCTTACGCTCACTTGTCAGGAATCGAGAGAGCGTTTCGTGCGTAAAAAGTTCAACATTGTTCAACTTTTTACGCGCGAGACGCTCTCAAAGTTACGCTTGCCTTCCCGTGATGCAGTTCGGCGAAAACGTGAGCGGACGTGACGTCACCCCATTCAAAGTGAATGGGCAGACGCGCTAGAGGCGTAATTTTACGCCTGAAACGCTTGTAGTGTGGAGGGCCCGTAACTCATATCTCTGTTGCCCAAATTATGAGTAACGTTATCACACCAGGTGCGCAGAGGTGGGAGAAGTACTCAGATCTTGTAGTTAAAGGAGACCTATCATGCTATATTTAAATGATATAGTGTATGACCATACCTATATAAGGTATATTTATACATTTTATTTTTCAAAATACCAAACAGATCATTTTTTAGCCATGCCTCGTTTCGCTCATTTTCGCTCTATTCCAAGCCGGTCTTTGAAAATTCTGAGCAGCAGCTGACCACGCCCCCTGCAGAAGAGCAGGGCATGAGCCGGTGAGAGTCACGTTACCATGCGTGCTGTGATTACGAGTGTGGAATAAACATGTCATCTCAGAGCAATGCATGTGTTCAAGCATATTATCAATTTGATCCAGAGACTGACCCTGAAGCAGCGGAGGTTTTGGTGGAGGTGCAAAGATCTCGGTTGCAGCAGGACGTTTCTGAATGGTTAGTTGACAAGCTGTTGTCCCTATTTAGTTTACTCTGTTACGATGCGTGCTACTTATTCCGTTCATATTTTGGCTAATTAGCAAGAATGCAATGTGTACAGTTTATAACTTAGAGTTTGTAACGCAAAAACAGCAATACATATATATATATTTATAAAGGGAGACATTCATATGTTCAGCATATATACAATGGCCTCATTGCGTTTATTAATAGTTTACAGTCCTTTTCTTCCAACATCGTGCAACAACCGTTGGAAAGTTCAATAACTTAGGGTGATAAAAAGTATAACTCCAACAACACCTCAGTTGTCAGCAATGTGTGTAGTTTCATGTGTTTTTAAAAGCTCAGTTATTGACTTCTTTCTACAGGTGTACATGTGCAAATTGCGCCACGATGCCTTCTGAACGGAGAATGTGCTGCATGGAGATACCACAGGTAACATTTTTGATAGCTTCACTAAGTTGTCTGTTTAGAGAATACATTTTTCACATGTCATTCAATATGTTTATCACACTAGGTGTCAAGACGGATGCAGGAACTTGAGGACTCTGTAACCTGTGGTGGACCATCCTGGATTGGAGCCTGTGTGCCTGAATGTGTTCTCCCTGCAGAATGCATTGAATATTTACAGAGCTGAACATGGTGGACTACAGTTGAGGCAAATAGAGCAGTGAGTGGTTTGTTTGTTTTGACTGAAATTGTAAAACGAATGCCAATATTGTTCATGGAAATAAATACTGGTGTATATGGCTTTATGCAATCTTTAATTCTGTCATTGTACATGTACTATTATATACTACACAGCAATGGCATAACACACCCATGTGTACGACAACAAAAGTCCACACACAACCTTATGCTTTTGAAATCAGAATATTCTTTACCCATCCAACATGAATAATCACGACACATTTGATATCAACTCTGAACTTTATTGTCAAAATCAACGGTTCTTTGAACCCATACAAAAAAACTAAATGTACTTGTATTTTGTATAAATGACACTAAATATTTTTTTTAATGATTTCAGGCATCACAGGTATCTAGCCTACAGAAGCTTTGTGAGCTGGTGCTGGGGCTTCCTTGGACGCAGGATCAGAGTGGTGATTCCGGCCTGCGTTGTCCTCAGGGAGGCAGGAGTTTCCTGATCCGCAAAATGTCGATGTTGGGTTCAGACAGCAGCCAAATTGAACCGTGTAGCATACCCGGCGATGACCTCCTCCCTGTCAGGTCGCTCATAATGGTGCAGGGTCCACAAAGACTTGGTCGAAGATGAGGTCCATCAAGTTGGCCACGTAGCCTGTGCAATGTTAAAAAAAAGCACAACAAAAAATGTGGTTTAGATTAGTATATGCATGTAAAAAACTGAAAGTTCTTTCTAATTTTTTTATTTTATATTTGTAAATAGTTCTATAATAAATATTTTAAACACTTACGGAATGTGGGGTCAGTCTTTACTGGTTTTGCTCTGCATTCTCCCTTCCTGGCCTTTGGGAACTGCAGTTTATACAGAGGGTTTCCAGTGGATGTTGGCTTGTGCACGCTCAGCGTTTTCATTGTAGTGCAGGGCTGCCAGGTACAGTCTTTCATTTCCGCCATGATACAAAAAAAATGTAAATAATAGCAAAGGATGTACAAATTGTCACTAATTAGTAAGTATGTGAGGTGCTGGCCTGTAAAGAAGAAAACATAGTTAGAACAAAATCATCTCAATTTAGTATTCAGGATGAGAAAATACTATTTGGATAAATATAGTCTGAAATCCCAAAAGATGGGGCTTAAAACTCTCTATTTAGCAAAGCTCTTTGCTTAGCCTTTTCCAATCTGAGTTAGTTTTGAACCGTAACGTGCATGCTGTGTTTCTGACTCAATACAGATGATATGTTGGAGAGGGGCTGAGCTCAGTAGACTGACTGTAATGAGTGCTAGCCACTAATTAACCTGTTGCTAGGTAAGGCCTCGTCAACAACAACAGACCAACGGGGCTTTAGCTCCGTTTTACTCGTGGTGTGTGTCCCCCCTCGCATACATACACACAGTGTTGTATCCTCACACACCCCCATTTATATTCATGTGCGCAAACAAGTAAACACACAAAAGCTTTTACATATAACGCTGCAAAAAACGGCATGTCTCATTAGCGTAGCGTAGCTTACAGATCGATGATATCTGATCGTTCTTACAGACTACAATCACAAAAGCTTTTACATATAACGCTGCAAAAAACGGCACTTACCTACAGAAGATTACGTTTGTTATTATAACTTGCTCAATATGATTTTAGAGGATACAAAATACTAATAAATAGGAGAATAAATACTTGTGTTATCGGCTAGGGCGTGGCTTTACAGCCTTAACACATATCGCCATTACGGCAGTATGTCTGAACATGTTAGCAAATGCCTGATAATTAAAATAAAAGACAAAGCAAAGACTGCGGAGCGTACAAAATAAAATGTTACAAAAACATATAAACACCTAACCGATTACTATTTGGGTTTACATTGATACGGCGAAGCTACATGCTACAAGCTAGAGATAGCTTTATCAGGAAAAACACCGCTAAATAAAAACTTACAGCTTCAAAATTGGATGTGTCCTCACTGGCCTGGTCCCGGATGGTTGGTATTGATCCCGGGTTTAGC